CAAAAAAAAAAATAAATTCAGTGTTAAATACATACAATTTGTAAAAGTTTATATTTAATATAGTTGCGGGGTCTAGCTTGGGGGATGGCCTGGAATAACACTGGATTTTTAATCTCTTATTTCACCTTCAGCACTTGGTCGTAAGGTCTGGTGAGTGAAGCAATGGAAGGGCCAAGGGGCACCATTGTTGGCCTGTCTTAAGGCGTCCACTGGCCTTAATCTGGCCCTGCCCCTTCCCTCCCAACAGTTGGCTGAAATGCAGACCCCTGTTTCATGTAGCGCTGGTTGAGCAGCCTCCTTGTTTTAATGTGATCGTTTTGCTAATGTGCAAAGCTTTGAGAGCTGTCAGGTGAAAAATGCTATCAAAGCATCCCCAGAGAGGTTCACTGGCACCTACAGTTTGGTCTCTCCACCATCATGCAGAGAGCTGCTCATTAGCAGATGCGTGCTTCTGTGTTTTCTTTTCTTTTTAAGATCTTCGACACTGCTGTTTTCTGTTACTCTTACACTGTATGGCTTGTTTTCCACATTGGGCTCATCTGCATCTTCCTGTTTAATTGTTTTAAACGAATTGTACGCCCTGTAGAAAATTTAATTTTAATGGGAAGTTTACAGTAGTGTAAAGAAAGACTTTTGCTGCCCAGCGGTCATCTGGGAATCTAAATAAAATGCGCTACAGCAGGAATTGTCTGGCCTGCCAGGTGCTGCTGTACTGCAACTCCTAGCGACCCAAGCAGACTGGCCAGAGGCTAGGAATGATTTAGGAACATCTGGAATGCCACTGGCTCTGCATCCTGTCCTGTAATATTCTGCCAGCCCGTCGAGGTAGGCCACGCGTTTGATTGGAACTGTTTTTATTGAAATAGGCTGTAATAACAGACTCTTGAAAGCCTGACAGCGTTTCCCCTTCCCTCCCTCTCATACCCCAGTGAGACAGAGCAGAGCCAGTCTGATTTTTTTCCTACTGTTTTCTGTCTTTCCTGAGCTTAAAGCAAGTTTATTTCCATATTGGTATAACTGTCTCTGCATTGTTTTTCCAAGGTCATATCAGAGACTCTGAACATACGCAGCGTGGGTCAGTAGAATCAACATAAATGCAGAAGAAAGCTGTGCCATACATATTTCTAACTGGCTGTAGCAGGGTTTCTCAACCTTGGCAGCTTTAAGATGGGTGGACGTCAACTCCCAGAATCCCCCAG